AAAATAAAATACTCGTCAACCTATACGATGAGACATATGCCTAACACACTGGGCTACGCCCGACCACACACATTCAATACTTACAATTTCCATTTACTCACAAAAAAATAACACAACAAGGAAATAAACTATATACACTAGCTGCAAATTCCGTCGACCATCGTAATAAGCATATCAGACTTAATTTTGAACCAAAATAGAGAACAAAGAATTTTGAAGCCAAACGCACGTCTGCTTATGATGACGGTCGAACCGGAAAGAGAAAGACCCAAGCCAGGTCAATCCTAATCACCCGTCTTCCCGAGCCTGAGACATGGAGAGGGGGGAAAGAAGCTAATTGGTTAGTCGTGACGTAAGGGAAAATCGAGGATTATGCTAGCTGGATCATCGTCTTGCGGTACTTCACCTTCTCGTGGCCAGCCAAACACAGTTCAAATGCCGGCCGCCAGAGGTCATTAAGGCCCTGAACCTTAGAACGGTTCAGTTAGGTTGTGGAGATTAGGTCCGAGAAAGATTATTTTCTTGTCACTTGTTTGACGAACAAGATATATCACCAATAACACACTTATAGCAGCCACAAATGAAACAATTCCACGGACTATTTCAACAGTGCAGTCGCATGATGCAACAGCCCCCAAGTCACCACCGTTTCCAACTGTCACCCATGAACATCTGTCCTGTTATTTAATTTCCAGACCCTGGATCTGTACCAAATAGAATTGTATCTACAGCACTGTTGGACTCATGAAGCCCAGTTAAGTTCTTTTAACTTCGCCATATTTACTCGAAGTTCCGTTTCGTATCTTCTACTTAGTTAAGACGAAATTGATTAATAAACCTCTTTTATTTTCTTCCAGATGACGACTCGTCTTCTGCTACTTTTTACTTTGTTGCGCCTGGGAACAACGCTTCCCGACTTGGACGACAACATGGTACCCACCGACGAGGAGATTCTTCGAGCTCTTCTAAAGCAGGTAACTCAACTGTCTTCTTTCCCGACAAGCGAATTTTCGAGGCCCAGTGACACGTCATGAAGACGTATGACAAACTACATGCACCCAACATAAACTTCGGCACGAGAAAAATGTCAGAGGTCAGCTTCAAGCTACGACCGACTTTGTCCCAAAGAAGGTTTTATTGGATATTAAGAAGAGTAGTCCTCGGGTCAGCCTGGAAGAGGCAGCTGTAATTCAGTTTTTTCGAGAACACTAGATCATATGCTTATATTTGAACTTTTAACATCATAGTATCATTTAAGAGTACATACATGCAATTGTAATTCTCTGAAGTTCAACAATTTTATTCCAAAATTTTCAATACGAACGCACCTGTTAGACTGATTCACTTTAACGGCAAATTATAATTTGTGGTTGGCACGGTAATATTGTCCTGTGGCTAAGCACCACGTCGTAATGACGTACTGAACACTGGAGATAAAGATCCACACATTTTCAACTTCATTTCCAACTGGATATGAAGTGTACATCCCAAAGCCAGGCTGGACGCGATGGCGGGTCTTCCAACACGAACGAGGTGACTATTTCCTTAGTCAGCCTCGCTCATTTTAGTTCTTATTTTATTTATCACTTGTTCTCAAAGTTCTAGCGTGAGCGAACACCTCAGGGACCATTGTCTGCCTGTAGCATTCTTCCTGCGCGGGTAGACAACCTGTATAATTTGGGGAGGGGGGAATATTTACGCAACAATGTGACCCATTGTAATTGTTAATCCTGTTGTTGTTGTTATTGTCGTCACTTTTTTCCATGGTCTTTCGTTCGCCTGATTAGACACGCCTTTCCCTCCGCCTTCACAGGTTAGATAATCCAGGCCTCTGGAAGACCGGGATTGTCCCCGAGGGACTTCGCTACCCACGGGGCTGGGCATTTCCGGGGGACTACACCCCTGGGAACACCGCTACATAATGCCCCCCACGCCTAGTTCTACACGGGATGTTTTATTTAACTCCTGGGGCTTTACCACCCAGGCTCCTCCTCATGTTGATTGCTTCGTTGGGGCTAGGTCCCAGCGATTGTTGCTTCAGGGATTTTGCCCCCATGGGCCACCTCTCCCCTGCCTTGGCCAATAGGCCTGGCCCTGTGCTTCCACCATCATGGTTGCATTAATGTGCAAGAATGGCTTAAGCACGTTCTTTTTGTAAAATAATGTCACGCAATAATGGCCTTGGATCACATTAGTGCAACGCAAGAATGCATCCTCGCAAGCTGATGGTGCCACAGTTGTTCCGCAACATTACGCCACGTGTTTTAGTCGGATATTTCCAATTCTTTATCAATACCTGTGGTCCAGTGCGAAAATGATTTTGTTGATCGATTATGTGAGAACAATTTTTTCGCTCTGGTGAATGTTATATTGCTTTATTTCACTGATATCACATGTGATCTCTTATCTATCATGATAGTGGGTTATTTCTGACATGTATATTATATTAATACATTTTACTACAACTGTCATTATTTTATTATTGTTTTAAGCATTAAATACAACCCACTTTGTAAGATAAAATTTATGTTGATGATTGGTCTGTGTGCGTCATGCCCTTAGGAGAAATCCCGCCCAGAGATGCAGGGTCAGCCAGAGGTGGAGGACTTTCTGGGGCTACCTACAGACGAGGAAAGCTACAATGAACTGAAGGCTCTCTTCACTCTGGGACGCCCCAGCGCCAGTGGCACTCATTATCTCATCCCCGACACATTCCCGGGTAGGTTTACTGTTACGTGTCACACGAAGCGACATATCATCGCCTCCCACAAGACAAACCCAGAGGACGTTACGGCCGAGTGTTTGGCACTCCTGCTTCGCATTGGGCAGATACAAGGTTCAAATCTCGGGTGGGAGACGGCCATTGCGACTTCTTCGTGATTCTACTCATTCTCTCCATGCAAAAACCGGGAAAGTACCTTAAATTACAGCCCCGTCCTCAACAATTCTTATTCCTCCATCATCCAATCACTCGACGCTATATACTCTGAGCTACTGAGACAGTCGTCAAACCATAAACAAACAAGAATCTCCAAGGAACCCAATGGAAGATGAAAGTTTTTTAAACATCTCAGTTAGGACCTTAGTTACTAGCTAGCACATGATATTATATATATATATATATATATATTAATCTTGAGGAGTTGGCTAGTTTTTCTTGTTAGGGCGACGGTATGAAGCAAGAAACCCAAAAAATTAATTTTAATGGAGAGCATAACACAATGAAAACGTGACTTTCATTTAGTGGTGAATTGTGTAATTAGACGAGTCTTTGGTAACAAGGACAGGTGAGTATACGTAGCGAGTTATTACTTATTCTGAAGAAGGCGGTCGCGGCATAGTGCACTCTCCCGGCATTCAGGTTAAAAAACTGAATAATACCACTACATATGTCAGTCAGATCGACGGTAACCCAGGCTAGATTCGAACAGGCATCGCGCGATTACAAGTCTGGAGCAACATTGCTTCATTACGAAATTATATATTATATGAGACACGATTATAATTTGACAAGAGATGTAATCAAAAAGCGAATGTAGCTTTATAGCACAGGACCTATAGTTCGGTGTATTGCAAATCTCTATCATTTTTTGTTCTTTGTATTGGTTCAATCTTCCTACATTCACATTGAACTACTTTAATTTTGGTTCTTCTGCAGCTGAATCCCCCACCTCCCCCGCGATGATGTTAAGACTTCGCTCTTACACTTTCAGTTCTTGCACTGGATCCAGGCCGTTATTTTAACGCATTCCTTCATTCTTTTGTCCTATGACTATGTTTTGTGTAGCTTAAGAGAAATTCGTTTCGTATCCCTCTTTTGTTTCTGGATTTAATTACGCGTGGAGCTTCTCTCATCATCTCGCTTCTGTCCGTTAAACAAATACGCTTAAGTGCCGTGCTTTTAAAAATGATGAAGGAAAAAGCGATGTCAAAACTTCATAACGGACATTCTGTAACAACCTAAGTGGACAAGAAAAGAGTTTACGGAGAAAGGGCACATCACTCAGTGTAAAGCCGACACAATAAGCCAAGCGTCTGTGTATTCTGAGAGAAGGCTTACGTTTTAGTTCAGCATAGTGCTTACCTTTGGAGTCTGTTTTCTTAGGTGCAAAAGCTTATTTCCGAAAACAAACCTTGCAACTAGAATTTTTCTCTTCCCGGCTGGGAAAAAAACCTACATAAGCCGGAGTTGGTATGACGGATTTCTTGGGCGCTGTGTCTGGCTAGCCTCAGACTTGGACCTAGTTTGAAGTTGGTTCAACCAAGGGGCCCAACAGACAGGCCTTCTGCCCCCCC